AAGGATTCAAACTTCTTTTCCGTCAACTGCTTCTGGCAATAAATGTTTCGGAATCAGTTATTTAAGGCAAGATTAAAATGGTAGAGCAGTCTAGAAAAACATTTTGACACGTCTTTACATTTATCTCAGACTGCAGGCAAGAAAACGTCAGCAAAAGCAACAGAGAACTAGACCAAATAGCAAAAGAAACCTCAAATGCAGAACACAGAAAAAAAGAAAACACAGTTAGGGACTCAAAACACTGAAATCACGGGTTAAATGGAAATCAAACAAAATCTCTTTTGCGAACATATTTTGAAGGGCTTAGAATAGGACATGTCAGTGGATATTTAGTAACCTGCATCCATTTTTTAATTCCTCAGTTCCCATCCTACAATTACTTCTTTTCATTGAATCAAAGCCACACTTCCTTCTCAATTGTATCCTGATGTTTGCAAGCTCACAGCTGGGGAGGCTGTTGTTGCCTGCTGCCATGGATACAAAATGATGTCACCTTTGCAGCTTGAAATCTCTGCAGCTGGTGGTGAGTACAGGGTGGTGCTTCAGCCTGCAAAACTAGTTAAAAACAGCAAAAAAAAATGTATACAGTTTCTTGACAAGATGGATGTTTCAAGCTGGATGGAGCAGAGTATGGCTCTTGTACCCTGTAGACAGTTTTTGAATTTGATGTTTTAGTGCTGCAGATTTCCCTGGTGCATTATCACGACTGAAGATGTGTTTTTTAAGTTTCAAAACAGTTCAGCATATCTTCACTTCATTTCTTGGCGCGGGTGCTCTAGAAAAGCCAGTCTTTTTTCTGTCTGAGAATAGGAAGTATGAATCGAAAGTCAAAACACCATAATAGGCATAGAGGTAAGAAAACAACAGAACAATCAGACCCACAGCTTATCACGAGACCTTAAAATTTGGTTACACTTGTTACTTTTTATTTGCAAGGAGACTCTTCTTTGTGCCTTAAACATACGTCTTTGTGCCTTAAAGATACAATATTTCTTGCAGAGTACCTGGACTGATGCATCACAGACATGTAATGAACAGTGTATCCCTTTATCTTATGCACACCATGATGTAAGTGGTTGAAAAGTAATTAATTATAAAAGACTAATACTACTAATGTGCTACGGACATAATAGGCAGTTTAATTTTAGTTACACCTTCCACACATCAATAGGACATGCTGTACTAGGACTGCAAACTCATTACTAGGTCTGAGAGAGCCCAAAGCATTTTAATGATTCTCTTCCTGAGTTTCAGGCTTTGTTCTGAGCAGAATATAGACAAGTGCCCGGGTGCAGCATGGAATTATAGATGTTGCATAGGTAATTGTTGTTTCAGCTCTGAGCAAATTAACCAGAGAATGGGGGAGGATAGTACTGCAAAATTCAGCTTCTCATATGTTGTACATTTTGTTGGGAAACAGACAACAAAGAAATCAGAAAATAGTGATGAAAATGTGTTTTCTGGGAATGAATAGATTCATTTTAATATATTGCTATTATATTACATTTATATTATAAATAAAGATAAGACTACATCCAAATCCCAATCTTCCCTTTATTGTATCTATTGTCTTTCCATGTGAGAATACATCGTTTTTTTACACAAAAAATTCCAGTATTATCTGATTACACTTGTTAAAACCATGCCTTTTTCTTACCACACTTGCAAAACATTTTTCCAGAGGAAATCTTTAAGAAAGTTCATTAAATAACATGTAGCTTACTTTGTGAGAAAAAAAACTGACTGGATTACAAGTGATGTTACAAATTTTCAATTACTAGATTGCATACTGCAAGGCAAAAAAAAATCTGAAGGAGTGGATATTGTTTACTGTAAATACTGATTCAACCTTATCTGTCAAAAAATCAATTACACAAGGTATCACTAACATTCATTTGATTCATCCTTCATGTCTAACGTCACATATACGTTTTTTCTACACAGTTCTCAAATGCCTATATACGCAAAAGTTCCCCTATGAAGATACTGATCTGATTAGTAACTCATTGCTCTTCCCCTCCCACACAAGTCATTTCACTGGAAAAAAAAGACAAGACATCATCTCTGATCTTATTCAGCTATATGCTGAGTATATGCAGAAAACAGCTTCTCTTAAATTTTTCAACCATACCAATGAGAATAAAACGCAGGTTAGTTTGTGCCTACAATACAGCATATTTGAATTTCCAGAAAGCCTTTCATACCACTCTGAATACAAAAGGTTGTTTTTATGTAAACCTGAAACTGCAGATTCCTCCAACCTGCCCATGTTTGAGCTACTTGTCTTTTAGCAATAGCCTCATCCCCGAGGTTCAGGATGAAACGCGTGAGAGGCATTTCCTCACCAACATTACTGAGAGAGCCCTAACTGATTAATGATAGGAATTACTATCACAGTCAGCTAGTAACATTAATAATAATAACATCTCTTTATTAACCTTATACAATTACCCAGGCTCGAACCCGTAACACCTCATCACAGAGCTCATCCTATGCTGAGCCCCACTCGAGCCCACACCGGATTCTTAAAACTTAATATGTGAGAATCCAAGATCATACCCACTAACAACTTAATGTACAAAAAATGCACATGTAGAAACCAGAGTGTGATTATTGCTGGAGTACAACATGCTGCATATCTGACTAGGGGCCACTGCTCTGATTCTTACTAATGATCTAAACTATGGTACTGTTAGAAAACATGTCAAGTCTGCCAGTGACAGAAAAACAGAGGGAGCAACAAACACATTTGTAGAAACAGCAACAAAAGACAGATACCAGAGTGGAAAGGCACTTACCAAATTAAACTAAAGGCAAAGCATCACATACAGGTACAATGAGCATTTTAAACACAAGATGAGGAATAGATTTTGAAGAATCAACAAGATGATCTTATCAATGTCCTCATTGTAATAATGTGGGGATAAAGACCAATAAGGCAGTACAGTATTTACAGTACAGTTAACTTGGGATTTACGGTGAAACTGGGACAAGTTGAAACTAAGAGGATGTTCACTTAGGCATTAAAAACAGGAGACACTACTTTACTCAAAGAGTCAAGAGGGGTATGTCAGGAGCTACCCAGCCCTAATGTTGAAGCACATTCAACAGGATCTGTCAAAAGAAGGAAGAGTAAGATTCTGGGATCAATAAACAAACAAACAAGGCGCTCAGATTGGACAGCTCTCATTTCTAACCTTTCTGTTCTGTTCCCAAGTTTCTGTCAGGAGAGAGCGTTCTCAGCACCTCACCTCCTGCAGCCCTCTGAGGTGTCAGAGTACATCAAAGAAGAGAATGTGAACTTCTGATTGAAAAAGAAAAAAAAACAGGAGACAGCAGAGAGAACAAAGTGAAGTTGATGCTTCAGAAAGCTATTAAATTTCCTGCCAACTACATGAAATGAAAACCAAAAGACGTCTTCTGTTTCTGACTCAAAGAGAAATGCGTTCTAAGACCTAAGAGCAGAGCTGTCAGTGAGGTGGGTGAGTCACGTTCCTGCTTCTCTCCCCAAAAAAGCATGGGAGCTGAACTATTTAAAAATATGTTGATTCTAAAAGAAGATCCTTCTCCAATAACTTGTATCAAGGAACTTGAGATACCAGGGGGCTTTATATATTTCAAAACCTTTTTGATTTACCTACAGAAATTCCCCTTCTGTAGACAAATGTCAAGATGACCCCACAGAATCTGCTAGTGGGAATCAACCAACTCCCACTGGTGTTACACACCCTAGAAAAAAGCCAGTTGCAAAGTTTACAGGGATGACTTTATACAGCCTATTATTACAGTGTAGCCAAAGACTGTACCATTGTAAAAAATACTTGGCGAACTACACAAGATGTATTCCGGTTGAAAAAAGAGCTGGCAAGATAATTTTAAGAAATAGGCCAAGATGTAGGAGATTGCAGCTGTAGTGTCATTATTTCGACAGACTATAGCTGAATGTGTGAAGAGCTAATTAAAATCGCAAATGAAACTTTCTCCTAGTTGCCAAGCTAGCCAAGCTGTGTGGGAAAACAGACAGAAAACAGAAAGTCAAAACAAATAAATGACTCTGGGCATCTTTTTTTCCCCTCTTCACAATAATCCATGATATAAAGTGTGTTCCCCACAGACACAGCCCTCATGTGCACATAGGAAAAGCACAGGCAGATACTCAGCTGAAATGATTTTAAACTAAACAGCTCATGGGCCACAGACTTAAAATGTATAGCCTTCACACCTTAAAACCAGCGATACACAGCATTCTTAAAAATAGCACTGCAACACACTGTGGTGATAAATGGGGCAGACTGCATTGCGTAACATGTTACCATATCCAAAAACATGCTGTGTATTCAGCATTCAATCGGGGAGAGGATGCTAGCTTTCAAATAACAACAAATAACAAAAAAACACAACAGAACAACATTTAAAAACATTGTGGATATCTCTTAGTTGCCACACAGCCACAAATGATATCGAAACATCTTGACACATTGTACTGTACTTGTCTGGTTTTATAATGAAGAGGTAAGAGCTCAAGAGATTCATTTGACAAGAAGAAACTTGATGGCACACTCAAATTTACCTAGATTTACTTTTAAGAAAGCCTCATCACAAACAGCTGGCTCTCTTTTACTGAAGGCCTGCACTAAATCGCTAGATGAATACTCTGCATTTGAGGTCTGAGAATAGTTTTTGAAAACTTGAACGTGTTTTTTTAGAAAGGAAGAAGTTAAAGATGCTAAGTCGAGCTGTCTTGAGGTAAAAGAAGAAACGGGTTGAAACTGTGGGTATTTTGCAGAAGTAGAAGATTGTGACATTCCCCCGTGTGCTGGCTCTGTGCTCTCAGGCCTGTTACGACACACTGCTCGGCCTGTATGACAGCGCTGCATCCGGCCACGCTTTCCCAGCCCGGCCAGAAAAGAAAACGTGCCGGCGGACAGGGGTGGGGACAGGGGGAAGAATTTGGGATATTTCCTTCTCTGCCGCATGGGTGGGAAAGACGTTGAAAACAAAAATGTGAGAACCTCTTGCCTTCCTTTCAGCTCTGAAGGGCGATAAAACAATGAGCGCCGTTGAGCAGGAGAGGTGCGGAGGAAATGGTCGCCAAGGGAGCCGCGCCCTCCTCGGGGGTCCTGGAGTCCCGAGTGCCAGGCACCGGCCCCTTCGTGCCGTCCAGGGCTCGGGGCTGGTCCTGTGCCGCTGCCTCTCAGGAAACCGGCCCTGCCCTAGGCGAGGCCTGCTCAGTCCCACGGGAAACTCTGAGCTACGGACCAAACACTTTCCTTTCATTTTATTTTAACTTGGCCAAGGGAGGAGGGGGGGGGGATAGATCCTTTAGAATAATTTATTGTGCACTCAGCACTTCACAGGGAGCGGGCTGGTGATGGTAAGATTCTATATCGGCCTTTGATCAGCTACAAAAAGGAGCTTTATACTTGCTTTTCAGCCAAATGACCTTGTCAACTGCTACCTACTACTTTTCAACAGGGATCTCCAACCCTTGTGCTGAACAGCCCCATTTCAGCAGGTTTTGTTGGTCACCATTATATCACCAGCTTCTAAAAACTGTAGAATTGAACATATGCGGAAAATATCAGCGGTGATTTTTTAGATTAAGTCATTTGTAGCTCATTTAGTATTCGAAGCCCACGGGGACCAGAGCTTTTTTAATTGAACAAATGACTTGTTTGCTTCAACTTCATCAATCTTTAACAACATGTGCCCTAAAAGACAAAATTGGGGATCTCCAAAACCAGGGTTAGAGTCCCCTACTTTTCAACGTTTTAAACCGGGAATTTCCAGGACTCATTTCTCTCAGAAACAGCAATCGCACGTAACTCCTGAATCTATTATTCTGTCACTATGTTAACAAGGGCCCTTGAAATCACTTTTCAGTCAAGTCTATTTTGTGAAAAACTTTTGCCTGAACAAGGCCTATTAAGAACATGAAAAGCAATCTGCATTTGAAACAACTTCTGACAACAGAACAGGTGTGCTTTGCACATAATAAATGAAGAATTTGACTTCAGGTCACTCAACAGATGATGGAATCTGATATTTTTGTGTGGAAATCTCAAGGACTTTAGTGACACCTGTTTCCTGTAATGGGTTCTACAATGGAAATCTTCACCAGGTCTTGTAACATAAGATTCTTGTAAACTAACATAAAAAAATTCTCATCAGCCTTTCAGGCTAAATATACAAGAGTGATATTTTCAAATCCAGATTGTATGTACTTTGATGGAACTGTGCTGGTATACAAAGTATTTAAAAAAAATCAGATGACACTCCCCAAGGGGGGAAAATGTAAATTAATTCCCAATTGATGGAAGCTTTTGATAGATTTACAATCACACCAGGCACAAAGTGGTTATTGTATAGGACATTAACAGTACCAGAATCCCTTCTCTGGGCTAAATGCACCATGCTTCACCAGATCACTGGAATGGAACAGCTCTGAATTTCATTGGTGTTTCAGAGAAGAAAAAAGAAAGGTTTCTGAACAGTTTCTGAAGAAGACAGACGTGTTTCCAAGCAGTCAATCCCTAATGAAAGTCCCTGTTGGAGTTTCTTTCTTAAAACAGCTCAGCAAGCGGGGCACACATTTCTTCTGAAACCAAGAGCTTGCAGGGGTGGGAAATTCCAGCACAAGATCAGAAGAGTGATAGCCTGCCAAAAATTCAGGTAGGTAAGTAGAGATGCACGGCAAAATATACATGGGATTGTTTGTAATATAGATCAAAGCAAACAAATGCCAAAATACGAGCAAAATGAAATGAATGTCACTTTGCGTTTTGTATTGCACAGACACACATAACGGATGACATCCCCTGAACTGTGCACTATCAAAACCTTTTACCCTTACAATCCTATCACTTCTTCAAAGTGCCCAAAGAACACAACCCCCCTGTCCTGATGCGGAACACGTTAGCAGAACCCGAAACATTCTGATACTGGAGGAGAAAAAAGGAAGCAAGTATTTAAACCAGCATCTTGAGTAGCAAAGAATAGCCTAAGAAATGAATAGAAACTGCTCAGACAAGCATAAGACGTGAAATAAAAATGAGGAAACAATTCTTGTGTGTTCAAAGGAATAAGAGTGCCAGATGAAGTCACAAAATAACAAAAGACACTAGTTGTTCACTGATGTAAGGATAGAAAATATATTTAAAGTATCTTTCCCATTCTTGGCAGAAGAAGTTTGTCTGCACATGCATGATGTACTTAGTTCACCTCATAAGTTATTTTTGAAAGGCATCAGTCATCCCACTGACTAAAAAATGATGATATCCTTACTTTAACCCTCATCAGCTATTGTTTTAGAAATGGGTTCAAATAAGAGTGCATGGAGTTCAGCAGTCTCATTATGGCTGCAGAGATATCAAGTCTGCATTTCAACTAGAATGGCCTTCGAGGAAGTTTGTGCTTCAAACGCAGTTCCAAAAAGACTATCCCCAAACCTTTCAACTGCGCACTTAAATCCAGCTGCTTGCTTGGCAGCTCATAGTAGGGCCCAGGAAACTGAGCAAGAAAAAAAGACGCCACATAAGAACTGCCAAAGCATGACACACCTCTGTGTTAGAAGGCCCCATGCTAAAATCACACATAAAGAATAAAATAAAACCGACACGCATACTTGCATGTCTCATCCCAAAACAATCAAGGCTGTGCTCTCCATTCCCAGGACACAATTTAGTGCAGACAGGCAACAGCATATTCCCACCTCTCAACACTTCATCTATAAAAGGCATTGACTCTTCAAAAGTAGCCAAGCATGGAAAAATCTCTCCCGTTGCACAGCACTTTGATTTGCTGCAGGACTGTCTTACACCACCCGAAGATGAACAGAAAGGTTTGTGTGAAAGTTACAGTATACAGAGTCCTACTCAACCTCTGTCTATTCAGATCAATTTGAAAGCACAAGCAAGATAAATATGAGGCACCTGGTACACAGCAATACGTATAGTGATGCACAATAAGAACACAAATTTCTGCTCCTATCATTTACATCTCTTTGTGCACACACATACTGTTATTTTCATTTTGACTAGTGTTCCTTTAAGATAACCAACTTAAGTTGTGATTTCATTAAAAGTTGAGTTTCTCAGCGTTTGAAATTTGAGTTGAGTTAAATTTGCCACAATTAGATGAGTAAGAAGATGCATGAACAGTACATTAAAAACAACATGATTTAAATTAACACAGGAACAAAGAAAGATATGACAATTCCCCACTTGCATATTGAAGGTCACCCGACTCCTATTAGTATGATCAAAGTCGGCGTGTCAGAGAGAGAAGTTGCCTATAGCATTAAAA